GAGTGAGAAATGAGAGAGAGAGGAAGACGAGAGAGAGAGAGACGCACCGACGTATGCGAGGCGATGAGCCGAGAGCGACACGACAAGACGCAGAGAGAGATGAGAGAGCGAGAGATAGAGAGCAGAGCAGAGAGAGTAGGTGTGTGCCGTGTGTGTGTGCCTCGCGTGTGTGTGCTGTGTGTGTGTGGGTGTGTGTGTGTTGTGTTGTTTTGTGTGTGTGTGTTTGTTGAGAAGAGAGAGAGGGAGTAGCATCGGCGACCGTTGTGTGACTGTATATATGTGCACAGATTGTACGAAAAACCTGGTATCGTGCTAGAGAGAGAGAATGAATTCGAGTGAGAAGGAGAGAGAGAGAGAGAGAGAGAGAGAGAGAGGGAGAGATAGGGGGAGAGAGTGCATGGCACTGTGGCGTGTTTGTACACACCCTTCTAACCAGTATAACCTGCTAGTGAGCGAAGGCAGCACACTTGCCTCAGAGCACACACAGCGCGCGACCTCTGCCACCCTGTTAGCTTTCTACTAGTTGGCAAGCTGCCAGGGTTTACATATACCTGCTATTACAAACCCACCGAGCTGTGTGTATAATAACAGTTTTATAATGAAATGTATTTAATAAAAATAATAATAGTAACAGTACTTAACAACTATTATAAATATACAGCTTAGTGGACAATAAAACACTGCAATTTATAATATAATAGAAATGTTAAGTCCCCATGCGCATGCGCGCTGCAGATGGTAGAAACACACCTATAGTGATGCGTAATGTAGAAGTAAGGGGGAACGTTTGTCATTGGGGGGACATGTATCACCTTACACCCACCTACCTGCTGCTCATGTCACGCTACGCTGATCTTGACAGCTCTATACAGGTATCGCTGGCAGGTAGACGGAGCGTACCTGTATCTGCCTGTAATCACTTAATCTAACGCCCATATACAGGTATATAGGTGTACATGCATAATATAGATTCGACACACCTCTATGTATGTATGTTAGAGTGTGTAAAATGAATGTAAATATGGGCAGCACTGTACTCCTGGGTATATATAATATTATATATAAGAGAGAGAGTGAAAGAGAGAGAGAAAGCGCGAGAGAGAGAGAGAGCGAGAGAGAGAGAGAGAGAGAGAGAGCGCGCGCGAGAGAGGAGGGCGGGGACGACGACACACACACACGCACGCACGCACGCACACACACACACACACACACACACACACACACACACACACACACACACACACGCACGGCGCGCGCTGCGCCACACCACCCACCACACACATATTTTATATTATATATATATATTATCGTGTACTTCATCAGGACATGTGTCTGACACGAAAACAATTTCACACGATGATCTGTGCTAGCTAGGCGTGATATCTCAAGGCCGATCTTCAATTCAAAGTTCTTGCCATAGACAACACCTCACGAGATCCGTGCCCTAGATCTAATACTGTGTGTGTCGCGCGTGCGTGTGTCGTGTGCGTGCGCGTGGCGTGGCGTGCGTGCGTGTGAGCGTGTCGAGCTGTGAGGTATGTAATGTGTGTGTGTGTGTGTGTGTGTTGTGTGTGTGTGGTGTGTGTGTGTGTGTTTGTGTGTGGTGTGTGTCTGTGTGTGCGCGCTGGTGTATTTGTATAGGCGCCGGTGCAAGCGGAATATTATAGCCTTGTTGACATATAGCCTAAACCTTCCTACAACGTACGGACAATAGCACTGTAGACTTCAGTGTGGACATGCATATACCCATACATATATACAAACACATACACACGGGCGCTCGCTTGTAAATACCAAACACTCACACACACCACACACCACACTCACACACGCACCACACACACTCCCACTACACATCACACACACGACACACAACAACACATCACCACACACTCACACAGGGGCACACTCAACACACACAACACACGCGCCGCGCACACACACACACACGGGAGACACATGCACCGCACGGCACACACACATAACCACACAGCACACACGCGCGCGACAGGTGGGCAGGCGGCACAGGCAGCGCACGGGGACGCGCGGCGAACGGCACGGCGACACGGCGGCGGCGCAGCAGGGGGCACGCAGCCGACACACACGCACACACCACAACACACATCACAGGGCACACATACAGGGGCCACACACACACACCACGCCGCCGCGAGGCGCAAACCCCGCACAACACTCACGCATCGGCCAAGCCAGGGGGGGCACAACACATGGCACCAGGGCACCACACACACGGCACGACACACAGCAACTCAACACACACACACACACAAGCACTCAAGCACTCTCTCTCTCTCTCTGCCCACACAGAGGGGGACCGCACAGGCACAGCGACACACAGCACACACACTCTAGCTCTCGTCTCATCTCTCTGCGTCTCTCTGCTCTCTCTCTGTCTCGGTCTCTCTCTCGCTCTCGGGGTCTCTCGTCTTCTCTCTCTCTCTCTCTATCTTCTCTCGTTCTCGTCGTTCTCTTCGTTGGCTTTCCTCTTCTCTCTCTCTCTCTCTCATATTCATATGATATTGCATGCATATACTAAAATTATATATATATATATATAACTGCGTTATTGCACGTAGCAAATCGATGATCATTTCCGATATTGATTTCTCATCGATCTATCCCCATTTCGTTGCAGCGTGAATGTATCTCCGTACATACATCGCCAGGCCGGTGTTGCAGATGGAAATGCTGCTGGGAGCCTAATACTGGGCCTGGAGCACGGCCATTAGAAGCCAGACGGCACCATGCCCCTGGACAACAGTCCGGGACACGGATGAAAGATTTCGTTCATCACGTTCTTTAGTGAGACGGACAAGCGGCAAGCACGTACCCGCGCGCGCGTGTTTCGTGGATCTAGAACCACCGTCTCGTACGTATCATAGTGACGTCATGCGTGGTGTGACGTCATGAACGTGTTTTGTGTCGTTTGTGCACGTACCGCACGCGAAGAGGATAGAGAGGGAGAGAGTGAGTGAGAGATGGAGAGAGAGAGAGTGAGAGAGAGGGAAGAGAGGCGAGTGAGAAAGAGATGGAGAGAGAGAGAGCGAGAGTGAAGAGAGGGAGAGAGAGAAGAGTGAGAAAGAGATGGAGGGATAAGAGAGATGAGAGAAGAGAGAGAGAGAGAGAGAGAGTGAGAAAGAGAATGGAGAGGAGAAAGGCGGAAATGCTGTAAGAGAGCATGGCGAACGAGAGAGAGGACCGAGGAGAGAGAGGCCAGAGAGCGAAGAGGCGAACGAGAAAGAAGCGCGCAGGCCGGGCGAGAGAGAGAGATATCAGAGAGAGTAGAGCGAGAGAGAGAGAGAAGAGAGAGAGAGAGAGAGACGAGAGAGAAAGAGGGAGGGATCGAGAGAGAAGAGAGAGAGAGAGAAGAGAGAGAGAGAAGAGAGAGAGAAGAGAGAGTGAAGAGAGAGATGTCAAGAGAGAAAGGCGAGGAACAAGAGAGAAGGGCGAACAAGAGAGATGGGCGAACGAATAGAGAGGCAAGAGAGAGAGAGAGAGGGCGAACAAACGAAAGAACCGGCGCGCAAGGGGGCGAGAGAGGAGAGAGAGAGATCGAGAGAGAGAGAGAGGAGAGAGAAGAGGGAGAGCGAGAGAGAGAGGGGAGAGAGAGAGAGAGAGAGGAGGAACGAGAGAGAGAGGGCGGGGGTAAAGAGAGGCAGAGCTGCTTCTCTGGCTTAGAGCTAGGTGCTCTCGGCGCACTATACAGTCCTAAAATACCGTGACGCCGGGTCCAAGATAAGAGGGACAAGCACTGAGTGAAAGCAAAGCACATTGTTAGAGCGGTTGCAACTAACAATCTCATATGATATAGTAGGTAGATATATATATGAAGTATAGATATATCTAGATATATTATGTGTGTGTGGTGTGTGTGTGTGTGGTGTGGTGTGTGTGGTGTGTGTGTGCGTGTGCGTGTGCGTGCGTGCGTGCGTCGTGTGTGTTGCTGTGTCATGCGTGCGTGCGTTGCGTGCGTCGCTGTGCTGCGTGCTGGCGTAGTTGGTGCGTCGTGCGTATGTGTGTGTATGTGTGTGTGTGTATATATTAGTAAATAGAGAGACGTGCACGCGCTAGGAGAGACGAGCGAGAGAGAGAGATAGAGAGAGAAGCGAGCGAGAGACGATGAGAGAGAGAGAGAGAGAGAGAGAGAGAGAGAAAGACAGAAAGGAAGGAGGGTAGGAGGAGAGAATGTAGAGGTACAGGGAAACACAGCGATGGTGTAGATACAGTAGAAGGGAGGAGTATCAAGGGAGAGGGTAGGGTGAGGGGGTGGCGCACGGGCGTACAAATGCCATGTCTATTTCAATATTTAACATCGTGCGTTCTTCCAAACGCACATCCTCAATTATACACAATTAGGCTCCATAGAACGAGAAACGAGAATTCACTAGAAATTCTGGTAAAACGCGTGAATTCTGTAGCGCATTAGCCATCGTTCATGCAGCTGCTAGCACAGCGATCTCTGTGAGGGATCATTGTCCTGTGAACCGGTTTTGCCATATATATGTATAGAGAGAGGGGGAAGGCGGGAGAGAGAGGGGGAGAGTGAGGGCGGGAGGGAGAAAAGAGAGAGGGAGAGAGAGGAAGGGAGGGAAAGAGAGAGGAAAAGGGAGAGAGAAAGCGAAAGGGGGGAAGGAGAGAGAGAGAGGGAGAGAGGAAGGGGAGAGAAAGAGAGAGGAAAAGGGAGAGAGAAATTGAAAGGGGGGAAGGAGAGAGAGAGAGGGAGAGAGGANGAGAGAGAGAGAGAGAAAGAGAGAAAGTGGAAACTGGATTTAAGCACTTATGGCACTGTAGATCATATGAAACGCGCCTAAATGGACTAGCTGCTATATTCTCCACTCCAGTCACGCATGCAGCCACGCTCTATCCGCTAACCCGGAAACAACTATACGTACCTATGATCCTATGATCAGTCACATGCAGGTGTATATGTGCGGCATGGCTAATGTCGTACGTGTCCACGACCGCTCGTTTACCTCGCACACACACTATTCTCCGCGGAAACCACGCAAGCTTACACACGTGAGGAAGAGTAGTGCTGTGTCGATATATATATATATATATATATATATATATACATATATATGTACTTGTATATATATGTCTAGTATATATATATATATATATATATATATATATATA